ACGATAACTGACGATAACTAACGATAACTGACGATGACTAACGATAAATGAAAATAAATAATAACAGACGATAACAGACGATAATTGACAACTGACGATAACTGAAAATAAATAATGATAACAGACGATAACAGATGATAACTAACGATAACTGACGATAACTGACGATAACTGACTATAACAGATGATAACTAACAATAACTGACGATAACTGAAAATAAATAACGATAACAGACGATAACAGATGATAACTAACGATAACTGACGATAACTGACAATAACAGATGATAACTAATGATAACTGACGATAACTGAAAATAAATAATGATAACAGACGATAACAGATGATAACTAACGATAACTGACGATAACTGACGATAACTGACTATAACAGATGATAACTAACAATAACTGACGATAACTGAAAATAAATAACGATAACAGACGATAACAGATGATAACTAATGATAACTGATGATAACTGACGATAACTGACTATAACAGATGATAACTAATGATAACTGACGATAACTAACGATAATTGACGATAACTGACGATAACAGATGATAACTAACGATAACTGACGATAACAGATGATAACTAACGATAACTGATGATAACTAACGATAAATGAAAATAAATAATAACAGACGATAGCAGACAATAATTGACAACTGACGATAACTGAAAATAAATAACGATAACAGACGATAACTTATAACTGACGATAACTTACGATAACTGACGATAACTGACGATAACTAATGATAACTGACAATAACTGACAATAATTGATAATAACTGATGATAACTGACGATAACTGAAAATAAATAACGATAACAGACGATAACTGAAAATAACTAACGATAACTGACGATAACTGAAAATAACTAACGATAACTGACGATAACTGACAATAACTAATGATAACTGACGATAACTGACAATAATTGATAATAACTGATGATAACTGACGATAACTGAAAATAAATAACGATAACAGACAATAACAGACAATAACTTATAACTGATGATAACTGACGATAACTAACGATAACTGATGATAACTGATGATAACTAACAATAACTGAAGATAACTGACGATAACAGATGATAACTAACGATAACTGACGATAACTAGCAATAACCGACGATAACTGAAAATAACTAACAATAACTGACGATAACTGAAAATAAATAACGATAACAGATGAAAACAGACAATAACTTATAACTGATGATAACTGACAATAACTAACGATAATTGACGATAACTGACGATAACTAACGATAACTGACAATAATTGATGATAACTGACGATAACTAACGATAACTGACAATAATTGATGATAGCTGACGATAACTGATGATAAATAATGATAACTGACGATAACTGACGATAACTAACGATAACTAACGATAACTGACAATAACTGATGATAACTGACGATAACTAATGATAACTAACGATAACTGACAACAACTGATGATAACTGATGATAACTAACGATAACTAACGATAACTGACGATAACTGACAATAATTGATGATAACTGACGATAACTGACGATAACTGACGATAACTGACGATAACTGACGATAACTGATGATAAATAATGATAACTGATGATAAATAATGATAACTGACGATAACTGATGATAACTGATGATAAATAATGATAACTGACGATAACTGATGATAAATAATGATAACTGATGATAAATAATGATAACTGACGATAACTGATGATAACTGACGATAACTGACGATAATTGATGATAACTGACGATAACTAACTCAGGCCTGACGAGGAAACAGGAGAAGTCCTCTGTGATTATTGTAATACCTCTCCCAGCAGATCCAGGATTACATAATGCTGCCATATGCCGGTGCTGATACAGCCTGCGGGCCCAGCAGAACCACCTTTGCCTGTTGTGGATCTTGATTTGGTGCCAGATGACTGTGAAACCTCAGGGTTCTGATGCCATCTGGACCAGCTGTCAGCCAAGGAATCTGGTCCTGCTGGCTGATTAGGGAGCAGAGGCTCGACACACGGAGGGAAGACCTGAGCCGCAGACCGGGTCCAACACTGGCACCAGAAGAGATAAATGCTAATTTGTTTCATCTTTTAGGGATTGTCAAGTTTACATTTAGAACTTTAAATCTCAGTGAATTTAAAGTTTAAAGCTGTTTTACTCAAAACAGAAAAATGTATTGATGTACAAAAAACAAATTTACAGTAGTTTTTTAAATCATAAAAGAACCGGACTGTGTCATCCACTGTTATTAATATGGTTTTAACACTGTAATACATTTAATTGCTGCAATGTTGTTTATTTGTTTGTTTTATTTCATGTTGTTGGATTTACAATACATGTATGATCATAAATGACAAACGCTTGAACAGAATCATACAATTTTTTCTTTAAATTTACCAGATTGTGTCATACAGTCATAAACTTAAACATCCTAATAACATGTTTAACACCTGCATTGTGCTGTTTTTTTATGTTATCAGATTTACATGAGATGTATTGTTCTGTAATAATTTATTGTAAACAACAAACGTTTTTTAACTGACATATATAGTTTCAAAATAGTCTACTGCATTGTTTTATACTGTACATTTTAATACCATAATGTTTTACTGTGGCATTTTTGTTGTTTATTTTGTTGTCTATTTTTATTTATTGATGTTATAATTAGATTTACAGTAGATAATAATTTAGCGTAGACACAGAAGGTTTTCAACTGAAGTTTACAGTTTTAAAATAGTTTACAGGATTGTGTCAAACACTGTCATCACTCTTTTGCGGTGAATTTTTGGCAACCGCAAGACAAGTAAATTAACCAATGTGCTGTATTTTTGTTATTTTAGGGTTATTTACTATAAATGAATTCACTGTGTAATAATTTCTGTAAATAAAAACAGTTTTCTAATGAAACATACCTTTTTAAATTGTATATCATAGTAT